AGAGACCAGGTTTAAACATAACCACATTGCTCCAGTTATTTACACAATAAAAATGAAAACATGGTGAGTTCTGTCCATAACTGACTGCTTTGAAAGTGAAGTTATTCATGTCCAAACGTGGGTTCTGTTTGCATTTGCAGCAGTCAGAAGGGGTAAGCAATCATTAACTTGTCAAAGCAGGGATAAAAGGCAGGGCTGCAGTCCAGAGTGGGCCATCCTCCTCCTCAGCCACCTGATTTCAAACTGTTTCATCATCGCTCATGTCCCAGATCTGCAACAAAATACACAGTTTTAGTTGTGGACTTGAAACATGCCCTCAATACGCTCTTATAAATTCACATTACTATTTAAAAGGAATAATAAATAGAATTTTATGAACTGTTGACTAGCACCAATGGAGCTTGACAGAAAATTCAGTATTTTTCTCTTCTGTTAACAACCTGCACACCAACAATTATTTGTCATCCTGGAGGTAATTTTTAAAATACACTGTTCAGGATTTGTCACTTTGGCTATTTGCTATTTATTATCATTTACAGAAAGATTCAGATCAAACCCCAGACATTTTGGTTTGGTTTGCTGGCTCATTGGCACACATTTAATGTGAGTAATAACTTCTAATAAACAGTGCATTTTACTAAACACTGCAGCAAAATTTCTTGAAGAATGAATTGTTCACTTGACACTCAAATATTAGATCCCATAAACAGGAGCCTAAAGACAAGTTATATGGAAATTTGTACTTTTCTGTATTTTCAAGAAGAAATAAAACTGCACAATTTTGTTCTGCAGTACAACATATTTGTACTTTTACTTTCCAAGTTGCCCTTGGCCATTAAGTGGTAACAGAGTGGGAAAATAGTGAATATTTTTGCAAAATATCAAGGTGTCCTTGTGGACACGCTGAGGTGGTGGCAGAAATTCAGACCAGAATTGCAGAGCTATTTGAGGGGGGAGGAGAACATATTCCCCAGGGATCCTCCAAGCTTTTTCTTCCAGAGAAACAGGGATGATCTTAAAAAAACCCATTTTAATGCTATTTTAGAGTTTTAGCTCATGGCAAATTTACTCTTTCTACCTGGCAGGGCTTAAGCTCAGGACTAACCATGTAGGACTAACATGAGTACTGAGCTTTGAGCTGGATTTAATGACACAATAACACCAAGCTGATAATACATAAAACTGCATTTCTGCCTGGGAGCATTCCGAACTCGCCTCAATTCCCTGCGATGTTGGGAGTGGTGCAGATGACACATGACAAGTGGTTTTGATTCCAAGCACAAAAATGCCCTTTGCAGAGCTCCCAGCAATCCCTCGCTGGCCATGACCTGACCAAAGGAGCAGCAGCGCTTTTGTGGCCCTGGGGAAATGAAATCCAGTCCATCCTCTCCAAAACGCAGCTCGTGTGCTGGCACAAAGCAGCCAGCTGAGTTATTCTCTCATTTTCCATCCTGACCACTAAAATATATCAAATCCCCCGCCCCGAAACGGAGCACGAGCAGTTATTTGGGCTGTAAATTCTTCAGGGCACAAAGCAGTGTTTTACATGCACACAGTGCCTGGACAATGGGGCACTGTTCTCACTGCACAGGGTAGACAAATAAAAAATACAAATAACCCCTTTTCTGGACAGCCAACAATACCTATTGACCTATAGCTTTAATAAACCCTCACAGGGAAAAAACGGAGTTATTCTGGGATTTGAAAATGCTCTGGAAAAAAGCTCTTCAAATCCAAACATAAAATCAAACATTTCTCTGCAGTGTACAAGCTGTGTGAAAGGAAAACTCTGAATGGCAAGGTTTTCTCCATTCCTAGAAGCGTCACAAAATGGTGGTGTAAATCCTTATGGAAAATGCTGAAGGAACAGTTTGTTTACAAAAGGAAAAAAAGGTTTTCATCCTGCCCTAGATGAGCAGCTTGGAGCTTGCCAAGGCAAACACAAATGTCCAGCTCGCCAGTCAGGGTCAAGGATGTGGAAAATAAATACAAAAAACCCAAATCTTTAAATAGAGTTGATGGGATGATTCAAGGCAGAGAGAAGCACAAATCCCAAGTTCAGACAGTCCCCCTAGCCCAGTTTCTGCAAACAAAGCCCACACACTGCAGCCCTTGACAAGAAAATTCTCTCCTTGCTAAAGCAGCTCTTTTCTAGGAGGCTTTTAACAAAAAATATTCACAAAAGCACTGAAACTGGGGGGCCCAGGTATTTAATCAACACTCAAATATCCTGGGTTGAGTGGGATGATTTTTAAATGTTTGAAAAATACTTTCCCTCCAGGAGAACAGACAGTTTTACAACCTAGTTTACACTTCATGCAATATCACAGCATCAGGACTGTTAAACCATAGAATGGGTTGGGTTGGATCTTTAACTCATCTCATTCCATGTCTGGGGACAATTCCACCATCCCAGGCTGCTCCAAMYSAAATCCARCCTGGCCTTGAACCCTTCCATGGTTGGGGAACAGTATTTTGTGTCCAATTTACAAAGGTTTAGAAAGAAAACCTTTACTTAACAAAGTACATGCAGAGGGAAGGGGAAAACAGGAAACAAAAGGGAAAAACTCAATGCAGAAGTTAACAATTGCAAATTACCTTAAAGAAAACAAGCTCTGTGGGATTGTGGAAAGGAAGTTGGGTGAAATACTGACAGCTAAATTATCACAGGCTCCTAACTAAGAGCAATAGATGTTTTCAAAAAAAGACATTTAAACTTTAATAGATGATGACTATGCAAACTCCGGAGATGACTTCAAAAGAGCGAACCATTTCAGAGAGGAAATAACAAAATACACAAAGCCAAGAAAGACAACGTGTAAAATGACTGTCAAAAGAATCTGATAGCCAAAGCAAGCTGTGAATTTGTTCGTTTTTCTTTTTTCACTTCTCTGTCCTGCACACACCTGGGTGAGGCAAACCCAAACACAGCTACAGGCAATGACGGGAGAAATCATAAAATGGGGAGATAATGAAGCAGCTGTCAACCCCACCCCACTGCCTGCACAAATCTGGGCAGATTATCTGAGTGCACCTGTTCCTTCAAATACCTGCTTTTAGATTCCAACTGCCTCCGAGAGCTGCTTCAATTTCACATGCAAATTATGGCTGTTCAGGAGGAAAGAAGGATTCCCACACTTGTTTTCTTGCAAGTCCTATTATTTTTGTTAATAATAGGAAAAACGACGGGGGGGAAAGCCCACAAAACCCCACTGATTGATTTTACACAGGACCAGATTGCACATTCAATAAATCCAGCAGAACAGAGAATTCTGCATTTCCTCCCCACCCCAGTAACCCCCGGTACCTGCAACTGAACTTCCACAAAATCCTTGCTCACCTACCCAGGCAGTGGCTTTGCACCTTCACATCAACATTGATGGTTCAGATAACGGCTGCTTTTCTTACAAATCAACTTGCAAGAATATGAAAATCCCTTCAGGGGATTCAGAGAAGTTTCTTGCCTCCAAACTGCCAAACAAACAAACAAATAAATCCCACACATGCTGTTTTCTACACACAACTGAGATGAATTTACAGACACATGGACCTGGAGTGGTTTTATTATGCAAACCACGTTATTTATTATGTCAGAAATGCTTCACATATGGAGAGGGGCAAAGAGGAAAATTCTAAGGGCTGAAAATGAAATGTTTCATCCATCAAAGAGCACAGCTGAGGATCACATGGGAACACGGCCTCCCAGAGCAACTGTCAAATCCTTGTGATTTAGAAATAATCAGAGTTTTCAATGAAAAGAGAACACACTAAAGCAACTTTTTGCGATTTTACAGCAGTAAAATGTGAGGTTTTGGATGGATATGAGGTTAATCATGTTCTGTGCTCAAAAACAGAGAAAACAGAGAGAATTTTGGGCAGCCTAAACCCCATTAGAAGTGGATCCCTGTGGCTAAAGGAGCTGCAGTGGTCTGGCCAGAGCACAAACCCACCCCATGGGAGCTGCCCCACGTCCTTCTGGCTGCCCTGGCTGCATCTCCAGCACAGCAACACAAACCAACTGCACCTTGAAATCCATTCAACACCTGCAAGTCGCAGCCTGCAGCTTTTGCAGCCGTCCTGGCACAGAGCTGGGGGATAATTACAAAGTTCAGCACCCTCCTTTCATCTCCCTCTGCACGGGGAGCACTTCCCTTCATCTCCCTGGAACTCAGCACACTCTGAGTGTTCTGCACGTTCAACAATTCCCTCCCCAGCCCCCTTTCCCACAGGGAAAAGCAGCCATAGAAGAATAATAAGACAGGAGCAGTGCTCTGCTCTCAGGGGAACATTCTGCTCTGCTCAGGGCCCTCCTTCTGCCCCAAATCCAAGGGGATGCTCTCAAACAAGGACCCACTTGTGCCTCCAGGACCTCATCCTACAGTAGTTGTCCCCAATTTGTTTCAAAATTGTCTTCTAACTGTCTAAAACTCTAGCTGGAATCAGCTCTATCTGATTATAATAGATCTATTACAAGGCTATAATCTGAATAATTAATTATCAGGTATTTCTTACTTCAGCCAATACACAAATTACAAACTAATTATCCCCCAAAAAATCAAATCAGGCTTATAAGATAAGAACTGCATTTCTTTCTTCAAACTGCTTTATTTAAGCAGGAGGTGGAGAAAAAAGTGGATAATTTCTCCAGATCCCTGCAGACAATGGCCCTACCCAGCCCAGGTGACCTGGCTGACAAATTCCTCCATCCCTTGTACCTCCACAAATTCTGCTTTTCTGTGTCTGCCCCCACAGCCTTCCTTGTCTCAATGCTTTACTACAAATAAAATCAAATCAAATCAAAATCCACAAACCTTGAACTATTTTTTTTTTAAAAAAAAGATGCTTCTTTTGCCCTCATACCCTTTTCAATATTCTGTATTTTCAGCCTGCAGCTTGAAAGTCCAGGGTGATGGGGAATTCTCATTTTAATCTTAATAAACAGCAACTATTCTACATGTTCTTCTTACATGCATTTTTTAAAATAGATCTACAATACTTAGAAGTACAGAATAGTTTGTGTTAGAAAGAACTTTAAAGCCTAAATATCTTGTAGAACTGCTATCTGAAGGACTTTGAAAGCTATTTTTAAAACCAAAACAGAAAAAAAATAGTAAAAAAACAAAGAAAGGATTTGTTTACAAATAAACCTTTAGCTAGAAAGTTTTTTTTTAATAGCTCCAGTTTCAAGCAGATGTACAAACAGCAGCACCAAACAGCAATTAGTCTCTTCTGGGTTTATAGCAGTTTCCCAGGTATTCATCAGAGAATTAT